AGTTTTAGTAGTTAGTATGGGCAGACACAATGCTAAGTGCTTTGCATACATTTTTCTCATTTACTTCTCAACTGTACCCGCACCTATGAATAAACCTGGAGAAAAACAAACAAAAATAACCCCCCCTCCAAAAAAAAGAATACATCTTTTTTCCTTATAGGGCTCAATAATTGATTTATTTTAATTGGAAAAGTAAGTGCAACCTGAATAAATTTTTAATTTTCTTCAACTGAGGGCAGGCGTGGTGGCACATGCCTGTAATCCTAGCACTATGGGAGGCTGAGGCGGGTGGATTGCTTGAGCTTATGAGTTCGAGACCAGCCTGAGCAAAAGCCAGATCCTGTCTCTACTACAAATAGAAAAACTGAGGCAAGAGGATCATTTGAGCCCAAGAGTTGGAGGTTGCTGTGAGCTATGATGCCACAGCACTTTACCCAGGGTGACAGCTTGTGACTCTATCTCAAAAAAAGTTTTTTTCTTCAACTGACATTCATGCTAAAAAGTTGTTATCACCAATGTAGGCCAAAGTTGTCTATCTCTTCTTCTGATTAAGAGCTCTTATTTATAAAATAATACACTTGAAAAGTTTTGGAGAATGATTGGAAGTGACCATTCTTCTAAATATGCCTAGGGTCATTTTTTGGAGAAGGTTCCATCTTGGCAGAACTATTGGTTCTGGCTTCTCTGGCTTAGACGGGATCTTCTTTCCACTTACGTGGTGACCTGAAAGATGCCCAGCCCAGACTTTACAATAATATGAGAGAACTCTCCATACACATCTTCTCATTAGAGGTGTTAGACTTACTGTATCATTTTTCAGTTGAGTAAGTAATTTCCAATTGTCATTCTGGGAGGATTGATATCTCAAGACCTGTCTATGGGCTGTGATGCATATTATTTTAGCTGAAATAGATTTAGAAGGCAGTTCTAGGTGGAAGGAACAGCTAGAGTAAAAACATGGAAATTACAGTGTTGTCAGGACCTCCGTTTTGACAAGGACCGTGACTGGAGATGAGGTACAGTATCACGTTGGGCCAGATCACGGAAAGAGTTGCATACCAAGCTAAGATTTGGTTTTAATCTATAGCCCAGTGTTTCCCAAACTCAAATAGGACTCAGACTTAAGAGAAAAAAATTCTTTCAAATCTCTGATATTGGCTTGTTATTTACATACTTAAGTATGCTTATTTATAAAACCCTGTACAAATCCTTATGCTTATAGCTCGTATACCACTATAAAGTTAAAGTAAATTGACAAGTTATCTACATACACTGCAAAGTCTACACAACACTAATGTAAGGAGATGGATAATATATATATATATTTTTTTTACTAAAGTAAGATAATTGTTGCAAATTTTTCCCCCTCTTTTTAACAAGAAGCTAGTTATTGAACACCTATCTGTTATTTTGGGAGGACCAACCTAATAATGCATCTCAATATAACAGTACTTTAAAAACATTTAAGAAGCAATTCTTCATTTTATACTCTACCCTTACTGCTGATGAAGTAAGATAACAAGAGAAGTTGTTACTACGAAGTGGGAAATAAGCCACACTTCCCTTCATGATATGAATATGTGATATGACTTATCATAACATGCCTATACTACTATGTACTTTATGAAGACTCAACTTCTCTCTCTGCTGTTCTCTATATAAATACTGTGAATCTTTTGGCTGTGTAACATGCTATGGTGTCTTTTGGCTTTCATTTGGCATCATTTACAACTTAAATCTTCTTTTCTAATTGCTGGGACCATTAAAGAGGTGCTTCATTCTTTCACACTGTATTGTTTCCATGAAGTCAAATAAATGATTGGTTTATTGACCAACTTAAAAAAAATCTTACTCCATGAAAATGTCTTTCATTGCAAAACTGGTCTGCAAAAGAGAGCTTTTGTCTTTATAACATTGCACATGAGCGCCACATTGGATCGTTACCATTGACATTAGCTCCTGACAAGCCGGCAGGAGGCTATTGTGGTAGAGCACTTCTCCTGCCAATGAACAACTGCCATCTATCCAGTTCTACAACCAGGAATCCTAGTATTACTCTTGGCACCTCTCTTTCTCATTTCTCTGTATCTAACCCATCAACATGTTCTGCTGATTTTATCTCTTAAATTTCTCTCAAGTCCTTCTACTTCTCTCCATCTTTTCCAATCTAACCCAGTTCAAGCCATGATCTCTTTCCTAGAGGACAACAGTCACTCCTAGCTGGCTTCTTCTCTCCCATTTCACTTGGTGTCTAGTTCACCTGCCAGCCACTGTGCAGTTTTCAAAATATAAATTCAATATCTCAACTCTTAAGCTATTCACCCTTTATACCCTTTCAATGGTTATCTTTTGCTCTTCCTTTAAGAACCTATATCATGGTCTACAAGTCCTTTGGAGATGCTCCATACCTTTCACCACCACCTGGCTTTATTGTTACCTCTGCTTGGATTGCTCTCCACCACCTCTGCTGTCTTCACTAAATCTTACTATCCTTCAAATGTTACATACACTTCCTTTTCTAGGATTTATCCCAGTTATAATTTAAATTTTGATTAATGTTTATTTGGGAGTCTAAGCCCCATGAAGGCAGGAAACTTGTCGGTTTTAGCTCCATTGTATTTCCATTAATTCTAAATAAATGAGTATATTAAGTGCATCACACAAGTTAAATATTATTTAACAATATACACCTCTCTGCATTGTAGCACAGATTCTCTAGCCCCTTGATGGAGGTTTGGGGAACATCATCCCCCTAACATTTCACAACATAAGCACATTTCCAGGAGGGACTGTTTTGTAATTAATATCATGTAAATAATTCAAGTATGATTCTTTGGCTCAGGCAATTCTTGGACATATCGAGATGATGCTACAGGGCAGCACCTGTGGCTCAGTGGGTAGGGCTCCAGTGCCATATACTGAGGTTGGTGGGTTCAAGCCCAGCCACGGCCAAACTGCAACAAAAAATAGCCAGGCGTTGTGGTGGGCACCTGTAGTTCCAGCTATTCGGGAGGCTGAGGCAAGAGAATTGCTTAAGCCCAGGAGTTGGAGTTTGCTGTGAGCACTGTGTCACCATAGAACTCTACCAAGGGAGATAAAGTAAGACTCTGTCTCTACAAAAAAAAAAAAAGAGAGAGAGAGAGAGATAATACAATACAATTCAATACAGTGTACTGAAGCCTGGCACCAAGGCTGGATAGTGTTCATCTATTCTTTTTTATAAAAAGCTATCCTCGACCAGGTGCAGTGGCTCACACCTGTAATCCCAGCACTCTGGGAGGCCAAGGTGGGTGGATTGCCTGAGCTCATGAGTTCAATACCAGCCAGAGCTAGTGGCGGGCACCTGTAGTCCCAGGTACTTGGGAGGCTGAAGCAAGAGAATCACTTAAGCCCAAGAGTTTGAGGTTGCTGTGAGCTGTGATGCCACAGCACTCTACCAGGGGCAAGAAAGGTGAGATCGTCTCAACAACAACAACAACAACAATAACAACAACAAAGCTATACTCAATATGTTGGAAGTATTTGAGATTTTGGAAGCTTTGCATTTTATATGATGATATCAAATCTGCAGCTTTGGGGTGATACATACAGTACTTGAGATTGAAAGTACTAGTATGTTTTGCTATTTTAATTTTTATTTTCATAATTATTACTGACATTGGGTGTCTTTTTCTATTTGAGTACCTGCTCCGGCTTCCTCTTCTGTGAGCTGTCCATGTCACTTACCTATTTTCCTTTTGGGTTATTTGCCATTTCTTCTTGAGTTGTAGAAACTATTTTGTATTATTGTAGAATATTTTGTATTTAAAAACTTTGTCAGTAATAACTTGTGGTCTTATCTCTTCATTTAATGGCACATTGTACAGAAGTTTTAATTTTAATACAGTAAAAATATTTCCTTTATTACTTTTTTTTATCTTGTTTAGTTTTTAAAAGTTCTTCCCTATTCCCAATTCATAAAGACATTTCCTATTTCCTTCTAAAAGTTTTAAAGTTTTCTCCTTAACATTTAAGACTTTGACCTACTTGAAATTGATTTTCTGTGTGGTATCAAGAGGTAATAAACCCTGAGTTTTTTTCATGTGGAAAACAAATTGTCCCAATAGTATTTACTGAATGTTCTTCCTTTCCCTACTGATTTGTAAGGTTTTCTCGGCCACAGATCAAGTTATACACAGGAAAGAGCCTGTTTCAAGACTCTTTATTCTATTGCATTGGTCTGTATAAGAACACACTTCTTAGCTTTATAATTTGTTACTGTCTTCACAGTAGCTATGCATCTAGCTGTACAAAGATGGACAAGTTACTTTAGCTCCCTTAAAAAAAAATCTGAAATAATTATATAGAGATAAAATGATTAAAAGAAATAAGAATGGTATGTAAAACACAGAGAAGGAGGTATAAATGAAACAGAAATCAAAGGGTCAGTGTCTTGGGAGACTCAGTTTCATTTATAAAAAGGAGATGAATTTGCATACCATTTCCCAGGCTCTTCATACTTCTAAAACTGTGATTCTGGGATTTTATCACGTAGAAACTATTCAGCACATCAGGGTAACGGGCAGTAGGGATAAAAGATAAAAAGGCGATAACGCAGGACTGAACCACCAGCAAGAGATCATAAAATGTAAAGTGCCACAGCAGATAAGATTTGGGGCTGGCCGGCGGTGTTGACAACCCTTATCCGGGTAGAAGCAGGCTACGATGACCTTCACGATATTTTCTGGCACAGGAAGGGCTGCGCAAGGTCTGGACGGCCCTGCCTACAACACCCGGCTGCACGCGAACACAGAGCTGCTGTCAACCCTCCTGGCTGCCCCCAGGGAACACGACTTCAGAGAAGATTCCAGACAAGCTCGCAGAAGCTGGGGAAGGACAGGACTGCGCTAGGAGCGCCCGCACCGCCTCCAGGGCGCCCGCGGTGTTTCTGGGAAATGTAGTCCTTTGCCGCGTACGCGGCCTCGGGCTCCAGGAAGGGGGACTACAATTCCCTGCAGTCGGGGCATGCTTTGTGCAGCGCGCCTGCGCCGTGTGCCGGCCGATGCCGCTATAAAGGCTTGTTTTGCTCTGGGGCTGATGCTCCGGAGCGTGGTTGAGTGGCCGGCGCGGCCGTCCTGGAGCTGGGGCTCAGGTAGGTGACGGTTACTGCTGCACCTCTACCCTGCAGCGCGATTGTCACGGGGGTCACCTCCTTACGTTTACTCGGGGAGTGGCAGGCTGTGGTTGGGGATCAGTTCGGGCGAAGTTGGAGACCCCAGGAACAGGCCTGGCCTCCCTCTAGCCTCCCGCCGCTACCTCCTAGGGGGGCGAACCCCAGGGGCTCGGAGCGAGGCCCAGCATCAGCAGGCAGGCAGGTGGGGCGCGGATGAGTGGTCGGGGACGCTGGCGACCGCCTCGGCTGCGGCCACCAGGGGGCGCTGCGCTCGCAGCCCGTGGGTGTGGGTCGCAATCGCCTAGCCAGGCCGGGGCTGGCCGTGGGAACGCCCTAGGGCCGGGGCATCCCAGGCGAAGGGGGCCCATCAAAAGCCCCTGGAGGTTGTGGGCCAGCGGCCTGAAGCACCTGGCTCCAGCCCCATACTGAGTACCTTCGAAGTAAGTAATTTTCTTCGTTTTTGCAAACGGGTAAATGGAGGTACGTGACAAGAGCGCGCGCGGTAAACCCGTGGCGGAGCCGGGAATGGAGCCCAGATCTCTAGACTGTCGTCTAGTGCCCTTTTCACGTCTGCTGCACAGAGCTACGTGCTGTTGTGTATTTATACAGGGGTCATTTGGTTTCTGCGTAGATGGGCAAGCTGGAGGCAGATGGGCGCAGAAATGACTGGGAAAGTTTCAGAAGGTTTTGAAAGAGGAGATAGCAAGGTTACACTGGGGTCCATAGCGTGGGTGAAAGGTGAGGAAGCTTGCAGGTGCAACAAGTGGATTACTGGGGTGGAGTGTGGTGTGGTATGTATATGTCCTTTCAGCTTCACAGCTTCCCTGTGCAACTTCAGTAAGATTCCAGAGGTGCTGGAACCTATTGAGGAATTTGTATTGCAGGCAGTTTGGAGACCCCAATCTGGCTTATTAACAGACCTCATAATCCTGTGCAACTTCCCTCCCCCATACAGTGTATCATTGTATACGGTGTATCATTGCGCAGAGAGAATTTGCACTTTTATCTCTGAAAAGAGAGTTGATTAAAAAAAAAAAAGGCAGCTGACTTACTGGCCTCAATCCTGTTGATTTTGAGTCTGGGAACTTCTTTGGGGTTCTCCTTTTTTGATTATTCTGCCATTGTCCTTGTGCAGCTCTGGCTCAAATATAAACAAAAGTCTCTTCCCTTTCTCCATTGATAGCTGAGGCAAGTCAGCATTTTTAAAAGATTTTTCAACAACTTAAAAGAGAACATAAGAAAATAGGGAGGCCAGGTGTGATTGCTCACGCCTGTAATCCTAGCATTCTGGGAGGCACTGAGCTCAGGAGTTGGAGACCAGCCTGAGTAATAGTGAGACCTTGTCTTTACTAAAAATAGAAAAATTAGCCTGGTGTAATGGCCAGTGCCTATAGTTTCAGCAACTCAGAGGCTGAGGCAAGAGGATTGCTTGATCCCAGGAGTTTGCGGTTACTTTGAGTTATGATGCTGCTGCTGCTCTATAGCCAGGGCAACAGAGCCAGACTCTGTTTCAAAAAAAAAAAAGGAAAATAAGGAAATACAAATAGTATCAATTAAAAGTCTGGCCTAGTGATCCTTGTTTGCTTGCTTCAGATTAAGGCCTTACTGCTTTCCACACCTATCAGGCTTCCTAGCTCTTCATTGGCCTCTATGTGACATACTCTTGTCTTATATTCCAGATACACAGAAGAGGATGTCCTCCTTATGTGCAGAGCCAAGGGACAGTAACTTTGTGCCTCTTTAGGGCCTGATTCTATCCCTTTTTCCAGGAAATTATAGAGATGGGGATGTTAGAGCTAATGGAACACATCCCCACACTCATCATACACAGAATAACTTGGTCCCTTAGGACAGTTTAGCACAGTCCATCACATTAGTCATGACAGGCACGAAACAATCATTATTTATATCATAACAGGGAAGTCACTTCATCACTGCCAGTCTGTGCTCATATGCTCTACTGATTCTGTTCTATCCTTTGAAATAAAGTGACGGAAAGAATCTTTGGTTATCATGGCTTCTTAGATAAGTGAGATCCTTCTTCTCATAATGGCATTTCCTACTGTGAATGAAGTACACTACCTCCTCTCCCACCTTTGTAAAAAGTAGCACTAATTTTTTCCTCTTCCATAATCAGCTAGGCTTGGGAACCTTTAGAGGAGAAGGTTGGACTTCTCTGATCCCTGTAACAGAAAGGTTCGTCTAATCTGCAGACATGGGAGACACTGGCAGATGCCAGGTCTGTTTATAGTTTAGCCTTAATGAGATCTCAATGACGTGATTGCTGCGCTCTTGCTGGGTAAAGCCAGTGTTGTTTATGGTGCAGTTTGTCATTGGACAAGGTGACTTTTCTTTTCTTTTTTTTTTTTTTTAAAGATAAGTAACTTATCATTATCAACTTAGAGTACTTGCACCAGAATTCTGAAAGGTAAGAAGTCCAGCTTTCTTTGCATTGGAAATATGTCTCTGTGGAGGTTTAGTCCTTTTTATTTAGAGGGTTAGTTAGTGTTCTTCTTTTTTCTTTTTTTTTTTTTGAGACAGAGCCTCAAGCTATCCCCCTGGGTAGAGTGCCGTGGCGCTACAGCTCACAGCAACCTCCAGCTTTTGGAGGCTCAAGCGAGTCTCCTGCCTCCGCCTCCCAAGTAGCTGGGACCACAGGCGCCCGCCACAACGCCCGGCCATTTTTTGGTTGCAGCCGTCATTGTTGTTTGGCGGGTGCCGGGCTGGGGATTCGAACCCGCCACCCTAGGTGTACGTGGCTGGCGCCCTAGCCGGCTGAGCCATAGGCGCCGAGCCTCTTCTTTTTTCTGATACCTTAAGGAATGATTTATAGTTGTTAAATAGAATGATTTATGGTTGTTAGAATTTTGTGCTGCAATAGTAGTACTTTTAAGTTACAGGGACAGTTAGAGATTTAAGGATTCCAAAAGCCAACAAAGCTACTCTTCTTTAATTTCTAGTGAGGCTGGTCTGAAAGGTGTTTTCTCAGCTTGTATCTGGAAAATTGTTGACCACCATAGAGTAGGGGCAACATTTTACAGAGATATGTGTTTGTTTATTTTTTAGAAAATGACCAGGTTGTGGGCAGTGCCTGTGATTCAGTGAGTAGGATGCCAGCCCCATATACTGAGGGTGGCGGGTTTGAACCCAGCCCTGGCCAAACTGCAACCAAAGAATAGCCGGGCATTGTAGTCCCAGCTATTTGGGAGCCTGAGGCAAGAGAATTGCCTAAGCCCAAGAGCTGGAGGTTGCTATGAGCTGTGATGCCATGGCACTCTACCCAGGGTGACAAAGTGAGACTCTGTATCTAAAAAAAAAAAAGAGAGACCAGAGTTGTTGCAGGATATGGATTAGTAAGGCAAACAATGGATTAGAACCGAGCTCCATAGAAACTTAGTAGAACAGGGTGAGGAATTTGTTTTGTTCTTGCTTTTTAATATTAGTTTTATTGAGATGTAATTTATATGCCACAGAAGTCATCCTTTTATTTTGAGACAGAGTTTCACCATGTCCCCGTCGGTGTAGTGCTGTGGCATCACAGCTCATAGCAACCTCCAACTCTTGGGCTTAAGCAGTTCCCTTGCCTCAGACTCCCAAGTAGCTGGGACTAGAGGTACTGGCCACAAGACCCAGCTATTGTTTTGTTGTAGTTGTCATTGTAGGGCTGGGTTCAAATCCACCAGCTCTGGTCTATGTGACTGGCATCCTAGCTGCTGAGCTACAGGCGCTGAGCCAGAATTCACCCTTTTAAAGTGTATAGTTCATTAGGGTATTTGCACAGAATTGTGCAGCCGTCACCACTATCTAATTTTAGAACCTTTTCAGGACCCCAAGGGGAATTTGTGTTTGAAATTATCGTTTTGTATTTTAGCTGGTTAACTTTATGGAGTTTTAAAATAGCATCAGTTAACCTGCTAGTTAATTATAAAACTGCAGAAATGGGATATAGTATTGATAGAATAAGTGTTTTGTAAGTTTTCATTTGGTAAAATTTAGTAGGGGAATTGATGTTTACTTTAAAATCTCAGAATTTGCAATGCTTGGGGCAAACTGAAATTGTTTCCAAAAAGTGTTTTAAAAAAGAAAAAGATATGTATACTCTGTACATTACATTGCAGCTTAGATGAAGAGGGTGGGTATCTCTTTAATAGCATGTGTAATTTTTTTAAATTGTTTTTTACTTGAAGGTAGGTCAAGGTAATTTTTCTTGATTCTATTATACTGATTTTTTTTTCCTTTAAATAAAATGAAAATCTTGGAAAATACTTGCAAATTTTTAAAAAACTTTTTATAGCTATAACAGTAGAAGCCTTTAATACCTTTGCCCTTTTTTCTTATCTAAAGAAAGGACTTCAGCATGTGATTAAGCACCATTTAGGAAATATCTCTTCTTGATGCGTTTTTAATTTCAGAAATTCTGAAGTGAACCACGAGTCTGTGAGCCCTGGCACTTGCACTCAGAGAAGATGAAGGATATCGACATAGGAAAAGAGTATATCATCCCCAGTCCGGGCTATAGGAGTGTGAGGGAGAGAACCAATGCTTCCGGGCAGCACAGAGAGGAATCCAAGTTCAAGAGAACTCGACCGGTCAGTCCCGAGAGTCGCTTCTCTTATCTGTTTGTTGTACTAGACCAAACCTTTCCTTCATGTGATGCACAACTTAAAATTTTATTACTCTTTATTGGCTTTGGGTTACGGTTGAGAATTTGTGGTTACTTATGAAAGAATCACAGTAAGCACTAAATAAATGGAGGAGAGATTGGCGCTCAGCCTCCTACCTGCCTTGTCCTTAGCATTCTTCCCCTTTTCCACTTTCACTTCATTTTGGTGCCTTCTGAAAGGCTTTGCTGGAGAGAAAACAACTTGTAAGGGGGAGGGAACACAAGGATTTTGGACTTTTAAGCTTCATTCATGTAGTTAAACAACATTGCCTTTTTCTTCTGCCTCTGTTGTCTGTATTTAAAATGCAAACCCTTGAATCCTGGACCAGGGGCAGTGGCTCACCCTTAATCCTAACCATCTGGGAGGCCCTGGTGGGAGGATCCCTCACACTCAGGAGTTCAAGACCAGCCTGAGCAAGAGTGAGACCCTGTCTATACTAAAAATAGAAAAATTACCCGGGCATCATGGTGGGCTTTCAGGAGGCTGAAGCAGGCGGATCACTTGAGCCTGGTAATTTGAGGTTGCTATGAGGTAGGCTGATGTCTCAGCATAGGGTAGGGAACAGAGTGAGACCCTGTCTTAAAAAATGTGAATACTTTGGAGAGACTCACTCTTAAGTTTTACAAGTGAATTCATGAATGTAAAACAGTCTTTATATTAGTGAACATACATTTAGACCTGGAGAAAAAATATTTTCTCTATCAGAAAAAGAAGCATTATACCTTTTCTTTTTTTTTTTTTTTTGAGACAGAGTCTTACTATGTTGCCCTGGGTAGAGTACTGTGGTGTCACAGCTCACAGCAACCTCCAACTCTTGGGCTTTAGTGATTCTCTTGCCTCAGCCTCCCAAGTAGCTGAGGCTATTTTTGTTGTCGTTGTTTGGCAGTTCGGGCTGGATTCGAACCCGCCAGCTCCGGTGTATGTGGCTGGCCCCCTTAGCTGCTGAGCTACAGGCGCCAAGCCCATTATACCTTTTCTTGAATTATGAAAAGTAATACGGCAGAATGGGGGTGACTAGGTTAGGAAGTTCAGGTATATGTTCACGTATTTGCTATGTGAAAACCTGAGAAAGTTAATGGACTTAGCATAACACCAGTGTTGACGCTGGTGTTTCTTTAGCCCGACATGACCTGGTCCTCTTTGATGTGTTAAAGCTGTTACTTTATTAATCAGCATTTTCTCACTAATGAGTTTTCTCTGTCCCCTACTGTGCATTGTAGAATGCTTTCCCATTCAGGCCTAACTTTGGAGAAACACAGATTCAGTGTAATCAGTGTCACATACTTCTTTGGTGCCAGTTTTATAATTTGTTTGGGTCCTTTCCTCTAGACCTTGTTTTAATTAAACATTTATCGAATATCTTGTGAGTGCTAGACCCTGTTAGCATAGCACTTAAGTCTGGAAAAAGTCACAAAGCTAACATTAGATTAGGGCTTTGAAAGGTGATTAGGTGGAGAGGTTTTTTAAGTAATAGAAGTAAAGACCCAGAGGTATAGAAAAAATGCAAGGCATTTTTAGATTTTGAATAGCTATCTGGGTGCGTCATTTGTGCCTTAATGGCTTATATATAAAATGGTGTTGACAGTAGTACCTAACTTATGAGATCATTGAAGAATAAGTGAGATAATACACATAAAACCTTCCCGTCGTGCCTGGCACATGGCCAGTGCTCAGTAAATATTAGAACTAGTTGTCAAGGGCTTAAGATGTATAAAGGGAGCATAGGTCAGGGAAAATTATACATGCCATGCTAAGGAATCTTTTACTGTGGGCACAGAGAACTATTAGAAGTCAGTGAAGAGACTTACTGTTTAACATTTATTTTGAGATAACTGTAGACTTAAAATGCATTTATAAAAAATACAGAGAGGTCCTGTATTGCCTTCATCCCGTTTTCCCCAGTGTGACATCTTGTACAACTGTAGTACAGGATCACAGCAGGATGGTTGACATTGATATAGTCCACAGACTTTGTTAAGATTTCACCGTGGTTTTATGTGCATTCATTTGTGTGTATGTGTACGTGCCGTCTGTGCAGTGCTCTTATATGTGTGGATTTGAATGTCCACTGCCACAGTAAAGATACAGAAGTTTGACCTCAAGGATCTCTCATGTCACCGTTTTGTGGCAGCAGCCACCTCTCCTTGTCTCCCAGTCTCTGGCAACTACTAAACTTTTCTCTAGCTCTATAATTTTATCATTTTAAGCATACTATAGAAATGGAATCATATAGTATGTAACCTTCTGAGATTGCTTTTTTCAGTCGTCCCGGTTCCCTTGACATCCACCTAATTTGTTGTGTACATCAATAGTTCTTTCCTTTCTATTGCTGAAGAGTATTCCATATATATATATATATGGTATATATATATATTATTTATATATATTTTTTCCTCACTTTATTGCCCTCAGTAGAGTGCCGTAAAATCACAGCTCACAGCAACCTCCAACTCCTGGGCTTAGGCGACTCTCTTGCCTCAGCCTCCTGAGCAGCTGGGACCACAGGCACCTGCCACAATGCCCAGCTATTTTTTTGTTGCAGTTTGGCCAGGGCCGGGCTTGAACCCACCACCCTCGATATATAGGGCTGGCGCCCTACCCACTGAGCCACAGGCGCCGCCCAAGAGTATTCCATATTATAGTTACACCACAGTTTGTTTAACCATTCATTCATTGAAGGACAATGGGTTATTTCCAGTTTGCAGCAATTATAAATAAAGGTGCTTTAAACATTCAGGTATAGGTTTTGTGTGAACATAAGCTTTCATTTGTCTGGACAAATGCCCAGGACTGTAATTGCTGGGTCATACGATAGAGTGCATATTTAGTTTTGTAAGAGACTATAATACTGTTTCCCAGAATGGTTGGACCATTTTACATTCCCATCAGCAATTATCCAGTTTTTCTGCATTCTTGCCGGTATTTGGTGTTACCATTTTTTTAATTTTGGTCTTCTCTTTAGGTGTGTCTGGTATCTCATTGTGGTTTTGATTTGCTAGTGGCTACTGAATGTTGTATTGAGAAGGGACTTTTAAGACTTGATTTTTGTCTTAGATTACTCTAGAAGCAATGCAGAAAAAAAATCTTATACAGGAGGGAGAAAAAATACAGGGAGCAGTCAGGAGGCTGCCGGGCCTGTCCACGTGAGACAGGCCAGGGGACGTTTCAAAACACAGAAGTGAACATGGAGGAGGGAAGAGAGAGCTGAGATTGAGTGGATCCCTGGAAGGGGAGGGAGGCATTGGGGTGCCTGAGATTGGTGGTAAGGATTTAAAACTGTTAGTGGACATGTGGGAAGAAAAGGAGGAGATTTGAGAGATAAGAATGAGTTTGATTTTGGACATGTTGAATTTGAAGTTCATCCTGGTAGAATTATCAGTAGGTGTAGCTTAGGTGAGAAGTAGGATAGGAGAAAAATTGTGGAGCCTTTCATGTGTCAGTGAAGATTAAGCCGTGGGAGTGAGCAGGCTTGCGCAAGGATCGCTTCTGTGGCTGGTAAGTGGAAAACAAGGTTCCTTTCCCGACTATCAGCTTTTGATAGGTCCAGTTAACATGGAAACACGAAATTATGTCAAGTAGAAGTCAGAAGCAAAGCACCAAGCCCTGGTCTGATGTTAAACAGACCCGTACCTCGGGCTTCTAATTCTGCAAGCTGTAATCAAAGATGCAGACAGAGTTCATGGTTTGCCCGTTTCTTAGTGTTGTGCCCAAGTCTTTCTTTTAGACTACTCTTTGGGAAAACTGCTCTCATCAGTCATGTTTTGAAATAAATATTTGTAGTTCCCTAGATATGCTTAGAGACAATTAGGGTCAAAATAATGCACATGTACCCATACCCCTTCTTCAGGACTGTCATGCTTGTGGCTACACACAATTTGAAGCTTAGCAGACATCCTTTAATCCTGAAGTGTTAATATAGTGGTGCCTTCTGTTTCTGTTAGTTCTTCGAGCTGAAGTGCTAACTTTGGCTGAAGTTAGGCTGGCATTATTTCAGCTAACACGAAGATTTATACCTCTGCCACTCCTTAACACCGTTACTGCAGGCCTGATTCTTCAATCAGAGCCCCTTTCCTTATCATTCTTTCTGTTTATTTAATATCAAAATATTAATTAAGGGGTACAAAGATTTTTGTTCCATGGATATTTTGCATAATGCTTAAGTCAAGGATTTTGGTGTGCCCATCACCAGAGTAGTTTTCATTGACCCCACTGGGTAAGTTTTAGTCCCACAGTCCCCACCTCTTGGTTTCTCGTGTCCTTTGTATCGCTTTGTGCCTGGACCTATTAACTCCCATTTATTAGTGGGAACGTACAGCGTTCTGTTTTCCCTTCCTGGGATTCATCACTTAGGATGATAGTTTCCAGTTCCAACTTTCATTATTATTCTGTTCATCTTCGCACATGTGGATCGTATGACGCCAGGAGCCCTGATTTGTTATTTTTAAGATGCACTGTTTATTCATTTTTATTCATGTGTGTTGTTCAACCAAGTGGCCTGGTCTAGTAGGTAAAGATAAATTGATGCTGGGCCACCTGCCTGCCTGCCTTCCAATAAAACAGTGGTTCTCAACCTTCCTAATGCTGCGGCCCTTTAATACAGTTCCTATGGGTCGCGACCCACAGGTTGAGAACTGCTGCAATAGAAGCTTAACCTCACAAATGTATACTCTACGTATATTACTGTATTTAGGTGCCATGGAAGTTAATAAGAATGAGAAAGTGCTTTCTCTCAGGAAAGACTCCAGTGGGAAGGTAACACTTGACTGAAGACTACAGGAATTGCTAGAATTTGGAGAAAGGAAGAATATGCCAGGCAGAAGAAAGAGTGGTGGGTAGGGATTCCTGGGCCCTGTTGGCTTTAAGCATAAAGCGTGTGAAGTCATCGACTTAGAGAGATAAGTCAGTGAGTTTCAGATTATGTGTGT